CCTCTCTCTCCCTCTCTCTCCCTCTCTCTCCCTCTCTCTCCCTCCCTCTCTCTCTCTCTCTCTCTCTCTCTCTCTCCAGAAACGATGTTTTACTGCATCTAATAACAATAACAGGACATTTATGCTTTGGACATTCTTTGGCAACTCAGGACCATATATTATTGCCAGTACTTCATTTCACAGTACATTCAAAACTGCTTTTAAATATTCTCTACATTGCTGAATTGCTCCCAAATCTTGAATTTCTATGCAACACTTCTATGCAATATATTATAGATCCTTCTAGAACTGTGCAGCTCTCTTGAAAGAGGAACTTCAGAAGCATGATATTTCTGAATTGTTAAAGCAGCTGCATCTTTTTCCAGGCGTATGTGGTTGCTCTGGAAACTGTTTGTGCTCTCTGCATGGATATATATATGCCCAGAGGCTTCATTTCATGTTCCCACTTGTTCTAGAACAGTCTTTTGAAGGACTTGCACAACTCTATTAACCATGTGTGAACCTTCATATACTGCTTATGGCTTTTTGAGATAAGCAGAACCTGAAGCTGTTCTAATTCTAATGCCTTCATTTGTTGTGAAGTTTATTTGGTTATAGACTTACATTTATTCATTCTATTTAATTTCTTTACAATTTAAGAACCTCCTTTTCCAAATTTTGAGCAGTTTATTTTGTAACTGTCATGTCCATAGCCTGTATTTATAAAGTATAGTATTTATACTTTATAAAGTGTAGTATCAGATATTGCAGTCTGTGAATAGGCATGTAGTTTTTTTTAAGCTACAATCTTGTGCAGTTCTTCTGGAATAAGTAGCATTGAGTTCAGTGAGGTTGACTTTTGAATAGGATTGCACTTCAAGGGAAGATGTTACTAATCACAGATGGGCTTAACAGATTGACACAGCACTGGCGAGGAGTGAGGGTTGTTGCCTGCAATTGTGCAGAGTTTCAGAAGCACTTCTGCTTTCTGAGTGGCACTGAAACTGAGTGCAGCATTCAAATAATTGTGTGCTCTCTGTTTACTCTTGGGATCATTTGGTGACTCTAAAATATGAAGTTCACTTTGAATCTCTTTCAAGAAGAGGTAGGGGAAAAATGAATTTTAAAAAATGCAATTTAATCCACCCAAAGCACTGCTTATTCTTGTGGCTGCCATTATTAATTGTACTTGAGGAACACATGTTTATAGATGTGATTTCATCAACATGGTAGTTCTTCAATAGGGTAGTTAAATGAATGCTTCATATTCTTATGAAATCATCACTTTTTACCAAGTCTTGTAATAAACAAGTACTTTGCTTGTTATAATTTCAACTAAATATATATTTCCTGTTTGAATATTTTGAGATCCTTTTATTGTCAAAGAGCTTGCAAAAAGCCAACAATGAATGTAGGTTAGTTGTAAGAGCTTTTTCATAGGACACTATCCAAAGGGATTAGCTTGTTCTGCTCTATGATAGGCAGAAAGTCAGACATAAACAAATAGTGTATACTTGCTAAATGTATTCTAACTGCCATGTAATAACATTCTGAAAGAACCCATGGCCAGACTGATTACAAAATTATTGTCTGCATTTAAGTTCCATTATGATTCTCTTTCCCCAGTCTGTGCCAGTTAGGTTTTCTTAGTATCTTTGTCACTACCCATTTTCATGGAGGATATACATCATAATCATTATTTTCTTACATCTGTGTCCAGGCCTCAGTTACAGTGGCTATGAGTGCACCATTGGGAGACTTGAAAGAACAGGTTAGGGATAGCTTGTCATGAGAAAATCTATGTGGTCGCTAGGAGTTGAAAACAATTTGATGGCACATAATCAAAATCAATGTCTAGGCAGTTGCCAGGAGTCAAAAACTGACTCGAGGGCACACTTTTTTTTTTTAAAGCCTTAATACATTTTCTTCCTTTCTCTGCTTGCTCCATCTTAGTAGCCTCCTGTTGGACAAGAGTCTGTCCCTTTCTAGCTTGTGAAACATCATAAAGTATTAATATTGTATAAGTACTAATGCAGCTGATGGCTGACTACAGATGTTATAAAGCCAGTTGTTTCTTCTAAGTGCTGATATGTAACTCTATTTATAAGAAACAGTTTGTTACAGTTCTGAAAATGTAATAGTATTGCAGTGTGTCACGCAGCCCTTAAGCATGGTTAGTTTTCTATTAGTATGGCTGGCTTCTGGCGGAATAGAGTATTGCCTTTTAGAAAAATAGCTGCATGAAACAGACCTTGCTTTTATGTAATGCTTCGAGAGTTGCTAGTTGGTTTTGGGACAGTTATTCATGATCAAGGATCAACATGCTTATTCTCACAGCAATTATTTTGTCTTGGGGGAAACAACCATGACAACAGCCCTTTGTATGGCTGGAATAACTGATCCAGCCACTGTATTTTTAAAACATAATTCCATGTTAAAAGCTGGAAGCTAATCATCTTGGGCTACAGTCCAAAGTTGCCATTTGGTATAGACAAATACTGTAGATATCTCCAGTGATACACCAGAGATAGATGAAACTCTGATATGTTTGACAATATACCATTTAGTTTTTAAAACATTTAGTTCATGGATATACGAACTGTACCAACAGCCCTATATAATTGATTTCCTTGATTTGCAACTTTAATTCATTCAAATGGTGCCTGTGACTTTCATTGTTGATTAATCAGAGAAAATATCTCAAAAGGAATAACCCATTCAGAGAATCAAACCGAATGCCTTAGTTGAAACAATGTACATTCCTGAAATACTCTCTTCTTGAAGAAAAAAAGACTGGAATGGGTTTCAGGATGGGTGGATGTGGCAGTTTCTAAAACCTTGAACCTTTTAGGGTTGTGCATTTCTTCCAACAAAATTTTCTTTCACTAAAGTATTTTTGTATGCTGGAAGCAAAAGAAAGATGTTGAAAAAAACACGTGTCACAATGGCCAACATATAATTTTAAATTACAGTATTGTTAAAATTGTTCTCTTTTTTAATGTAGCTTTCAAGTCAAGTTTGTATCCTTTGTGCAGCTGTGATCTTCATTTATTTTTTTCCCAGACTCCGAGGGTTGCTGTGAGTGGTATGGTAATATGATGATATTACTGGATGGTATGCAACTAGATGGGATTTCTGGTTTGTTTTTTCATTATTCAGGGTGGCATTTTTTCCTTTTCTAGGTGTGTTACACTGTCAAAAATTTAGGATGTGTCTGTTTTCTAATCGAAAAGAAGCAGGAAAGTGTATAGCTATTGTTTTAGGTTGCACAGTTTGGGGGACTATACGTGACCTGATGGTTACAGTTGCTGAGTCCTGCTTAAAATGTGTAATAAACTCTGAATTCTTCTAAAAGAAGTGAAGTTGCCTTCTTCTGGGAATGGTGGTTGCCAAGTAGAGAACAGGAAGTTGTATCTTGAACAAATACTGAACCTTTACCATTTTGAAACTGTATTTTTAGTTGCATGACTGATGTTGGATTGTATAGCTAGCAGAGCTTAAATTGAATGGTTTTAGAATTATAAGTACTCTACACAAAACTAAATGAGTAACACATGTGAGTTTCAGATCTGTTGAGTTTACAGTGTTGTTGCCTCTGAGGACTTTGCATACTTTTAAGAAATGGTTTCAGGATCCTTTGCTTGCCTTACATTTATTCTTGATTTTTAATATCAAGTAAAATTATATTTTGTAAAAATGGCAGTTTATTGTAGAAATGCAAAGACTTTTCACATAAAATATCCTAAGTAGATTAAGAGATAAAACACCATTTATTGGCGTATTTGTACGTAATTTGTTTTAGTATCAGGTACTCAAAATCGCTAGGAGCTGAAATCTATTCAGTAAAGTCCTTACCTATACCTTTTTACTCATACTGCACAAGTTAGCATAGTTCTATGTATTTTAATATATGATTGCAAGATCTGGAGTATTCTATGCTAGGAAGCTCTTGTGGCTAATACCCAATTAGGAGCTTTTGATTTTGGGAAAAAAAGGGTCAAGAGATCAATTGATGATCAGGAAAACTTTTTATTTGGTTGCTTTCCTTTCTCACCCATTAAGAGGGGATATAATTTGATTTTCTGCCCTAAGTGTGAATTTCAGAAATAGTCTATTATTGGAATTAGAATTAAGCAAGTCTGCTGTATCTGTAGTACTGTATGCTAAAACTTAGAACTAAAAAAATGAAAATTAATGTCTGAGTGTTTAATAGTATTGAAGTTTGGAGTATAGTAAAATGCTATTCCTATGTGACTATTTCTGTTCTTCAATTTCTATGTTTTAAAAGTGACTTTCAGGTTCGTTGGATGTTTTGTGTCTTTCTGAGTGTTGTTTTATAGTGGAATTATAACCGCTTCTGGTGACAAAGAAAAAAATTATAAGGCTAATACCTAATGATTTCTAATTTCATTTACTTTGTTGTCTTTTATGATGGTGGTAATAACATAGCCTTTTTTCTAAACATTTTTTTCTGTAGCATAAGCTTAACTTTTTTTTAAAAAAAAGTTGCTATTCCCTAGGAACTTCAAAATTTCATGGCTTCTTTTGTGCTGTATTCACGCATAAATCTTATACTATAAACTCTTCTTGTAGTGCTTCTGCTCATGAGTCAAACCTTCTCAGTGCTCTCAAAATGTTTACATTGTGTTTTGGTAAAATACATTAACTTCAGATTCAGAAGTACTAGCTGTTTAAACAGAGGGCAAAGTCTGCCAGATGTTATACTGACCTTGATGAGTTTCTCTTGCTTTGCATTTCAGTGAAGAAACATTGAGTTTGGTGAAAACCACCACATTTTGGGGAATGCTCTTGCATAGTGACTACAGTGTATTGTTATGATTATTTATTTATCCTGCATAATTCTTTATTCTGAATTTTCCTTGTTAAAATAAATAGAAGTAGTAAATTAAATTTGTGCTGTACTTCTTCTTTTTCAGAATCTGAAAAACAGCAACGTGAACTGCTATGTGGGTGCTTCCTGACAGAAGATTGGTGCTAAAAGAAAGAATCTACAGTGTTCAGCTAGCAGGATTTTGACAACTCTCCAGTTGCCTTGGGAGCTGGGGGATTGCTGTCTCTGAGCAGATATTTGCTGTTTCCTGCCTGGATGCAAAGCAGTACTTGAATCACATCTGCCACTCTCATACTTGAGGAAACATATTCTTTGCTGTGTAATCAGACATTAAATAAGATAAGCTATTATGTCTAAGAAGCAAAACCAAAAAGGTAAGCTTTAATATAGAGATAGTATAACTAATAAGAAGGACTATATTATAGGTTGCTATCAAATGTGGGAATTTAGTCAATGTTAATACATTTTTCAAAGTCAGGGAGGTTCTCAAGCTGTTCTCTTAAGTGTCTGTGAAGAAAAGAAATCCTGTTCAAATCTTGCTAAATATAAGATTACTTTTCTAAAAATATGGTCCTTAATCCCTTTCTCAAATCAAAGAAGGAATGTTTTCAGCATCTGAAAAACTTTTGACTTTCTTGTGTTAGGAATTTAAGCTAATGACATACATGAAAAATCCAGTTTTACTTCAGAACCATCAGTACTAACAACTGGCAAGACCTGCTATGGCAATGAATTGACTATTTCCTGTGTCTCATTTAAGAAGGTGCACCTATCTCTAGGCAGAATTTTGTCTTCCTCTGAGAAGTCATTGTCATTTTAAGAATTACTACTTTAGGAACAGTAAATCATTTTGGAATCTCTGTTTGCCAGTTAATAATTAGTAAAACTGGCATCTCTATTTGCCAGTTAATAATTAGTAAAGATTGTATGAGAAGCATGTCTGTTTGCATGAACATTTTATTTTTATGTATGTATGTATGTAGGTATTGAAAATGGGAGTTACTGATGATTTTTCCTTCCTTGATAATGCTATCATGTATGTTTCCTTGCTCTCTCTTAGTTGCCACTGATAATATGTCAAGATGTAAGATTCACTATGCATCTTTGAGTTGGAGAGTTAACATGAAATTTAGGCAAGTTTTAAAGATCAAAACTAGCACTCTGAATTAGGTTTAGAAAATGACTAAGAGTCAATTAAGGTTTTTATGAATATGTGGAAGATGTCTGAGACATTTTGAGTTTGAGGTAGATTGTTCCAGCTTTACTAGAAGTGTTCTGATTCTGAATAATTGGCATGCTTATTGAACAGTCTTATTGAACAACTTTCACCTAAGGTGACTAGGTTTATCATTTACAGATTCCAAAATTATAACTATTCAGGGGCTTCAGAAACATCCTAGAGCAGAGTACAGGTAGTCCCCAGATTAAGAACATCTGGTTTAAGGATGACCCATAGTTAAGAACAGAGCCTATTCTAGCAGAATTCAAGTTAAATGCACAATGATTTGAGTTAAGTACACAATGGTTCAAGTTAATTACACACTACTTTATACAGTATTATACAATAGTACTGTTCCGGCTTACTTACAAATTCAATTTAAGATTAGACCTTGGGAACAGAACTTGTTCTTAAACTGGGGACTACCTGTACATGATTGGTTGGTCCCACTTCTTCCCAAATCGGCATGAATCAGTTCCCACTTACCTTTTGTGCAACCATCTTTCAAAGGGGCTACGCTGAAATTTCTAGGTCACAACTGGCTTAAAATTTATGCCTGTTTTAGAAATGTGCCTTTTGTTTTTGTTTTTGTTTTTGTTTTTGTTTTTGTTTTTTTGTCTTTTTCTTGCATACTGGAAAGGGTGTTTCTCTTTCAGTGTTAGACACATCTGACTGATTTTGAAGTGTACAAGAGGCCTTTCTGCATACTTAATTCCCTGTTGTATCTTATAGAACTGAAGCTAATTTGAAGTGTTGATCTGCAAGTTTTATTCCGATCCCTGAACTCTAATGGCCAGGTGTTTGTTTTAAGAGTATTTGGATTACCGTATTGAGAACAAGTTACTGACCCCCCCCCCCAAAAAGGCATTTTGAATAAACCTAATGTATGGTACAGTATAGTCTTACTGCTTCTATGTCATAATGTTCAATAAACCTCACTATTTATTGATTTCTGTTGCCAATCTCTCCTGAAATAAAATTTGACAATTGTACAAGAATAAATTGCTAAGTTGGCTGTATGAACTATTTCCAGCTGTAAATTGTTACACTATTCATCCTGTGGAAAAAAAGATTTGTGGCTCTCCATTCTAAAACAGACATTTAATACAAATTACTGTTTCCAGTGTACTTAAATGCTTAATTATGGTTGTGTTAATAGTCTGTGCTATAATGTCTAGAAATAGAACATATGACTAAAGAATTTGTATTTTAATTATGCATATTCTTAAGTTATTAACATATTAGCTCTGATTTGTATTTTCTAATTGGTTTATTTATTGTTTATTTCTAATTGGTTTAATTACTATTTATTTCTAATTGGTTTATTTACTGTTTTCCCACAACATAAATGTCTTGACACTAAGTTCTGAGAAGTATATGTTTCATCCTGTTTCCAGAGACACAGTCTGAAGCAAATGTATTGGGCATGGCTGCAAAAACCCTGCCCAGTTTTTATGAACCAGCAAAAATTTGGTCTTGTTTCAAACAATATACCTTTCACATAGAAATCATCTTGTATACAGTCATAATTTCTAATGTTTCAGTTCTGTACATTATTTGTGATGAGAAGTTGTAATGAGTCAGGTTTTCTTAGTGAAATTTTTCATGTACACACTAGTTGAACGTAAATAACAAGTACTGGATATTAGTTGTACTAGTATGTAACTGGGTAGTACCTTGTGCATACATATTCATGTTATTCTCTTTTGGGAAAAATATGTAAATTGCAGAAAAGAAATAGTAAACAAATAATGAGGGGATGTTAATCACTTACTTTTGTATACAGATCACATTCATTCTTGACCCCATACAGACTTTTTCTTGTACTCCATTCCTGCAGATTCATTCTACTTGCCCTAATTTTTCACCACTTAGGTATAACTTGCAATTGTTACTCTGTGTTCTCTGTCAAATGCAGTTAGCTTGGTTTTAAATACATCAATTACAAGTCCATACTCCTGATTGTATCATACAATCTATCTACAGATTATTTGGGGTCTCAGCTAACAATTCAAAATTCTCAAATTACAGGTACATTTACATTCCCAACCAACCAACCCACTTCTAATATCACCACTCTATCATACACTTTCTCTAAATCAACAGATTTATATACAAAATATAAATAAATTACTCACTTGTATACATTTCTCAGCAACCTGTTAAAGAATAAATATCTGATCTGTATACACACTGCCCTGAGAGGATTTCCAAATTTTACTCATTGATTCTTGTACTCTTTCAACCAGAATTCTGCTACACACCTTTCCAGTTATGTTTAAATTAATCCCCCTATAGTTTTCGCATTTACTCTTGGTATTTTTCCCTTTGATTTAGAAGAACAACAGTGGCATTTTTCCAATCATCAGGCACAGATGTAGTCTTCTCACACACGTTAAATAGGTTACACAGCACTCCATAAAAAAACCAAAGCTATACTTTTACATTTTTCCAGGCGTACCACCTACATCTGCAAATGTACCATTTTTCAACAATTTCAAAGTATTTATCTCTTCTCATTTTTTTTTCTTAGATGTCAACATTTATAGCATTCATCTACTTCCATCAAAACTGCTCTGTATTTTCTCTGCCTCTTTTAAACTTAACTCTCCCTTGTCGTCTGGTGACATTCTTTGAAACCATATTTTTTCAATATACACATTTGTAGTGGCAGTGCTGAGTAGTCTCAAACCTCTCTCAGAAACCCTCTGGGTTTATACAGCTTGGCCCCTCCTTCCTGCTTTGGTGTAGCTGCTTAGTAGTTACTGCTACCACTGCTTATCTTCCAAGAGGAAAGAAAAAGATAATGTAAAAATTCCTTTTCAGATCATCATACGCAAAACCTTTACTGTTGGAGAAGAAAATATAGGCATGCTCAAGTCACAGTAGCATCTTAAAAGATCTCCCGAAGAAAAACAGCACAGAACAAAGAATGATTCTAAGTGAATCACAAAGATCTGCTACTAATATAGAAGAAGCTCTGATGTGAAGAAGTGCATGAAACAATTTACTGAACATGTATAAAAAGCATAAATATTAGAAACCACAAAGCATTAACTAGCAGGAAATAAATTAAACAGTGTTGTTCTTAGTTAATTTTCCTCTATTCCTCTAGAGAATAGATTAGCCTTGGAACAGATATTATTCTTTAGTAGTCCTGCTTCCTGCAAATTCCAGCTTAAATCTGAGGCTGAGGGATGATGGTAAATCTTACTTGTTTCCAGCCTTCTGTCCAGCAACTTCTGCCTGATTTCTAAAAGGAGAAAACTTTTTCTAATTTACAAAAAGGATTAGGTTTGGGGGGCATCTGCTTGTTGGATACATGCCAAAACCCATATGTTTCTGTTTGTGACAAAGGTGCTGATTTGAATGACTGAGCTGGTAGCTGTGACAATGAATGTGGGAATGGGGGCTTGCCCACCCATTCATTACAACAGTATACAGTATCTTTCATTCTTATTTTTTGCAGTGATCATTCTCTGTAAACCATTTTTTTTCTTATGTATACACTTTTTGACCTCATCATTTCCTCAAGCAATCCGTTGGATACTTCCCATTACAGTATCCTAATGTCCATTTTCCATTACTTTTGTTGGGAGATTAATTTGTCTTGTAATATTTTTTTAACACTTTCTCCCCCTGCAACCATTCTACCATCATTCTTGTTTCTTTCACTTTTTTTTCCAAGTTCATTTTTCCCAAGTTCCACTCTTGGCACTACCAGATAACCTTACTGGGATGTTTGAGCAGCATACGACAAATAAAAACATCCATAATATTACCTAAAACAGCCATAGTGAGGAAGATGATAAATTCAAAAATAGTTGAGAATCAGATAAAAATACAGAATAAAAATGACACAGCAGCAATAATCACAACAGTCCAACAACAACTGTTCAATTAGCAGATACTCTGCAGAAGAGCTTGGTTTGTAGCATCTCCTGAAAAGTAATCCATAATTGAACAAGTCTCATCTCCAGTGGGAGGCTGTTCCAGAGAACTGGTGCTGCCACTGAAAAGCAGCATCTCTGGGCCTCAGTCATTTGATGATCCATCTTACATTCAGAGGCTCTCATTGCTCTTGTATCCTTCACTGATTCTCTCAAATGATGAGATCAGTCATTCCTTTAGATTTATGTACATACAATATTCAAA